GCTTAGAAGAGCTCCTCAGACCTTCTGTACCCACTGGAATCAGCCTGGTAACTGCCAGCTCCTTCTCCAAACAGTATACCTCCAACCTCCTTCCAAATCGTGCTGAGCTCTGCTTCAGTCGGCAGGAGCTCCTACACCCAGCGCCACCACCTAGTTGTCTGTTTCTCCCACAGCACAGCAACGCTCTAGTTTAACCTTGTGATTTGTTTTATGATGCCAGCAGTCAACACACTCCAAAGAGACAGACTCTGTGGCTTACTTCCCTGGCTACCAATTGCCATTGCCTTGTACATAGCAGATGTTTAGTAAACGTCTGCTGGATTTGACTCTGCGTGCCCGAGAAGAAAAGAAGTCTGGGAAACAACTGAGGATCTCTTATGACAGAAACAGGGTCGATGCCTGCCATCCCAGGTGAAGATGGAGAAGTCACTGCCACTGTCGCACTGACAGGGCCACAGCACCTGCCAACTATCGTTCCCAGCAACCTGGTCAGGGCAGGGTGAATTAATCAAAGCAAAAGGAGCACCATATGGGCCCTGTCGGGCCGCTGAGGATGTAATGAAATTGAAGATGAAGGGCATTTATATCTGCAATATCATATTTGTAAAAGTCATGGTCATGGAGGAGGTTTATTGCTGAATGGCCCTTGTGTGCTTATTGAATCAACATACCACCTAGGATAGAACCACATTAAAAGCTTTTAATAAAGCAGTCATTTGGATATTAGATTTGGATTCTTTTCTGCTTGCTAATGTTCTTCCACAAATCTTTTAAAAGCAATTTCCACTTTGTAGCTTCCTAGTAACTGTAGAAACATGAATCAACATATGCTGCATTGATTTGGCATTTCCATGGAGACGGGAAGGACACAGGGAAGGGCAGGACAGAAAGAGGCCACTTGGCCCAAAATTCTACTAAAAAAAAAAGAAGAAGAAGAAGAAATTGTATCTCCATTTCATTCCTCTAAGCATTTGCAACCTCATTTCCTGTTCACGAGTTCAAGCATCCAGATCCTTAAATTCTAATAGCCCTGCTCAGTCCCTCACAGGGAACAGCAGTGGGGGCATTTGAGATAAAGGCATGGGCCCGGGATGCTGGCAAAGTGAACTGGAGAAGCACTGGGTTTGGAATCAGAAGAAAGGGTCTTTCATCCAAGCTTTGAGCTTCAATTCCCCATCTGTAGAATACAAATCAGCACACCTGCCTTCTCTATTTTTCAGACTAGGATGGAATGATGCTTTTAAAAATGCCAGTCCACTGTACTCCGTGATTATCACTGGGAATGCTCCAGGCTTCCTTTAGATGGAAGTCTGCCAGTGAGCTAGTGAGTGCACGAGGAGCGCTGGTTATGGGGACTGGACTGACCTGGGGGGAAAAGGATCCTGGGTTTCACAGATCTAAGCTTACAGCTCGGTTCCATAATTTTCTAGTTCTGTAAATGTGGGCAAGTTACTTATCCTCTCCCAGCGTCATTTTCATTATTGGCAAAATGAAGATAATCACAGTAGCAATATAACAGATAATGTAATAAGAGTGTTTATAGCACAACACTTGTCAAATGGCAAATGTCTGTTAAGTGTGAGCCACTCGTATCATTATTATTAACCTTGGCAATTTGATTTCATTCTCTGTAAAGCAAGAATTAGAATCCCTACTACTTCTCTGCTTTTCCAAGGGGATTATTGGGTGATGTCAGCTCAGCTATTAGATACATTCATTGGGGAAAGGCACTATACGAAGGAAATAGAATGTTATTTCATGATTCACTTTTAATCACCCAATTACTGAAATGATGCAAAAATTGAAAGATGGAACAGTTTGTAAAAGTTTTCACAGTTGCCTTACTGTGGTAGTGTGTGTGTTGCTGTGAAGCTGGTAATGTGCCACTGGTATTTCAAATACCAACAAGGTCAACCATGGTGAACAAATTACAGCAGAGCGTTCAGAGTAAGACAGACTGGGGGAAAGGACATGACAATATGCTTCTGAAGAAAAAACATTGTGAAGGCCAGTGGAAACCTTATGAATGGCAATGGAGCCTGGTCTGACACAGAGCCAAAAGACTCCCTTGGCCTGGGAGTACTTGGCATATGACCGGCGAAGAGCTGACCTGATGTTATGGATGGAATAGAGCTCTGAGCTGTTCATTAGCTGATTTCATGATGACTGAAATGTAGAGACCGTTGAAAACACCCACGAATCACTGGAATCTTTTCATAACAAATAATAGAGTAATTGGAATAATATGCAGTATGAATCAAGGGAAGCTGAAAGTTGTCAACAATTAAATGGAAATCTTAAAGATGAACACCTTAGGCGTGAGTGTGCTGAAATAGACTAGTCTTGGCCATTTCGAACAAACAATCATATGTTTCACTGGAACGGGCGTGATCCCTTGAAGCAGCGCATCCATAGTCACAGAAGAATGTTCCAAAGCCTGTCCTGAATCTGCCAGCCGCAGGGTGACAGTCATATGCCGGAGGTTAGGACAACCATGACTTACACCGACTCACTGGTCACTGATGTCAAAGAGGGAGAAATAAAGACCTTTACCAACTCTTGCCATCTGAAGTGGTTCCGGTTTTTGAAAGTTGGAAGCAAGGAAGGATTGCTCGTTGGAAAATACAGTTTTAATGATAAAAACAATTCTGGATATTAAATGATCAAATTTTACAAGACCAAAGACTTGCTGACTGTACATATCATTTTCTAACAACCTAAGGGCAACATTTGGTCTTTGTTAGAGGCAATACGCAAGGATTGAAACAACTACTTCTGTAGAGGGAGATCATGAAGAAGCTCAGTCTGATCAGCCAGAACAAGGCCAGGCACTCACTGAAGAACAGACCTCTAATTGCTCAAAAGCAAGTTCAAGTTGACGCTGCAAAAAAGTAAAGCAATTTCATGAGAGTCAAAGTAAAACCCGCTCTCTGAGAGAACGCAAAGACTAAAAGCCCCGTTGGAAAGATGTTCCCCACCTCCCATCTGTCTGTTTGTCACCATGAAATCAGCAAATGCGTGGTAGCTTGTGTGTGGCTGTGATGCTGGAAGCTATAACATTGCCATTTCAAATACCACCAGGGTATTTGAATTTAGAGATCATCTCAAAAATAGATTCGACACATTGAACACGAATGATGCAAGACCAGACAGGTTGAGGGATCCTATCAGGGACATAATACACAAAGAAAGACAAGGAAAGACAAGATCGCTGTCAGAAGAGAGTGAAACCAGCTCTTGAATGTAGAGTGGCTAACGTGGATGGACTCAATGATGAATGAAAACAGAACCGAGAAATTCAAAGAGGAGCTGGAAAAGAAAAAGAAAATGCAAAAACCTGGAGTTAGAAAACCAGAAGGAAAAAACACACTTCGAATTTCTCAAGCTGAACGAGCTGAAGGGAAAAAAGTCAATCCTTGAGTTGAAATATTGAAGGATTTTATGGAAAAAATACTGAATGGTCTGGGACGCATCAAAAGAAATGGAAAGAATACACAGAGTCAATGTACCCAAAAGTATTGTGTGAGATGGAAGCATTTCATGCGGTCACATATAATCGGGAACAATGATATTGAAGGAAGAAGTCCACGCTGCCCTGAAGGCATTGACCAAGAACAAAGTTTCAGGAACTGATGAAATATCAACGGAGATGTTTCAGCAAATGGATGTAATCCTGGAAGAACTCAAGTTGTCTATGGCGAAAACTTTGGGAGATAATTATTTGGCCAATCAACTGGAAGAGATTCATTTATGCTCATTCCAAAGAAAAGTAATCTAACAGACTGAGGAAATTATTGATAAATATTATTACTATCAAATGCAATTACAATTATAGTGAAGATAATTCTAAAATAATTGTAATGGTAACAGGGAAATGTCCCAAATTCAAACCAGATTCAAAAGAAAATATGGAATAAGAGATATCATTGGTGTTGCCTGATAGATCTTGACTGAAAGAAGAAAATATCAGAAAGGTGTTTACCTGTGTTTTATTGACCTTGCAAAGGCATTGGTCTGGTGGATCATAAAAAGATGATGGCTAATACTATATAGAATAGAAATTCAAGAACATTGAATTCTGCTCATGCAGAACCTGCACACAGACCAAAAGGCATTCATCTGAAGTGAACACGGTAGCATGTTATGCTTTCAAATGAGGACCGACCCTCTCATCACACTTGTTCAATCTGCATGCCGAGCGGTAGTCCAAACGGCGGGACTACATGGAGAACAGGACACGAGGGTCGTCGGACACCCATTAACAACCTTCAATACGCAAGTGCACCAAGTCAATCCACCCACAAGACCTTTTTAGAGTATCAAAAAGCAAGACTGTTACTTTGAGTGCTTGCTTTAGCAGCACATATACTAAAATTGGAATGATACAGAGAAGATTACCATAATCCCTGCACAAGGATGAAGCGCTCCGTAATTTTATTTTTCTGTTTTTCAATATATGAAAACAAGGACTGAGGGATCTATAAGGACAGCAAGTAGAATAAGGGTTTCTGGGGGGTGTCACTGGGGGAGGGGGCATTCAGTGGTGGACGTGGGGTAGCTGAAAGGGAAATGAAGACAAGGAATCCAGAAAGGAAAAAAATGTTTGGAAACGGATTGTGGTAGCTATTGCGCAATAAATACAGCTTGATGTGATTGAACTATGGAATGATATGATATGTGTATCAACTCCTAATTTAAAAAATTAAATTAAATTAGAAAAGAAAAGGAATGTTACTTTGAGGACTGAGGTGCTCCTGGCCGAAGCCGCGGTATTTTCCATCATCTCAGCTGCGTGTGAACGTAGGACAGTGAACAAAGTAACCCAGCGAGAATTGATGCCATTGAATTGCGGTGATGGGAAATAATGCTGACAGGACCATGGGCTGCCGAAAGGACGACTGGACTTGCTTGCAAGAAGCACGGCCAGCGTGCTCCTTAGAAGCCAGGATCCTGAGACTTCATCTTGCGTACTTTGGACGTGCTGTCAGGAAAGACCAGCCCCCGGAGAAGGGCACCGTGTTTGGTAAAGTGGAGGGGCAGTGGAACAGAGGACAGCTCTCAAGGAAGTGGATTGACACTGTGGCTGTAACAGTGGGTGGGAGCAAAGGAACGATTATGAGGGTGGTGCAGGGCCGGGCAGTGTTTTGTTCTGTCCTGCATAAAATCACGATGGTTCAGAATTGACTCAGTAGCACCTAACAACAACAACAACAACCTTGCTCGGTGAAAGGTGCTTAGATTTGAAGCAGTTACTGACGAAGATTAAAGACTACAGCTTTCCATATGAATTACACCTTGATGTAAAGAAACGAAAAAGGGTCACAACTGGACCAATAAGCACCATGATAAACAGAGTAAATACTGATGTTGTCAAGAATTTACTTGTGCTTCGACCCACAATCAATGCTCATGGAAGCAGCAGTCAGAAAATCAAATGTCATATCCCACCACTGCCATCAGATGATTCCAGCTCAACGCCACCCCATAGACAGAGGAGAACTATCCCTTTGGGTGGCCGAGAGTAAGACTCTTTCCATGAGTTGACAGCCTCGTCTTTCTCCCTGGGAGTGGCCGGTGTGTTCAAACTACTGGCCAATGGGTAACCCACCATGCCACCAGGACAAATCTGCTGCAAAAGATCTCTGTACGGCAGTGGTTCTCCACCTGCCTCAGGCCGCGACCCTTTCATACAGTTCTTCACGTGGTGGTGACCCCCCAACCATAACATTATTTTCGCTGCTACTTCATAACTGTAATTTTGCTACTGTGATGAATCATTATGTAAATATCTGATATGCAGGATGTATTTTCATTGTTACAAATTGAACATAATTAAAGCATAGTGATGAATCACAAAGATAACATGTAATTATATATTGTGAAAAATTTACTTCTAATTACAAATAAATGAAATTTCGTCTTGAACCATGGTGTAGCATGGGTAACAGTCTTCACGCCGGGGACTCGTATGTGGGCATATCTGTGTGTGTGCAGACCCACCTGGAGGTGGACAGGAGCAGTGTCTGGGTTCCTAAGACCATCGGAAATTAAAGCAGATTGAGAACGCTGCTTTAAAGTTCCACGTGCCAAGACAGCACTGTGAAGACAAAAGTGCACCTGGCCAATGGTGTTTCCAGTTGCCTGAGAGGCGAGTGGAAACTGGTCAATGCATAAAAATGACTGAAGAAGAATTGGTGCATTTGATTTATATGTCGATGAAAAATCTTGACTATGCCCTGGACTTCCAGAAGAACGAACAAATCTATCTTGGAAGAAGGATAGCCAGAATGTCCCTTAGAAGCAAGGACAGAGAGACTTCATCTCACATACTTTGGACGTACGGCCAGGAAAGACATCATGAGGACGGTCCTAAATGAGGTGAGTTGAGTCAATGGCTACAACCATGGGCGTACACAGAGTAATGATGGTGAGCGTGATCCGGGCCCGACAGTGTTTCATTTGTGATACATGGGGTTGCTATGAGTCAGGACCACTTGAGAGCATCTCACAATAGTAATAACAACCACAAAGATGAGCCAGGCCTGTTACCTTTTTCATGTGCTTTTCTTTCTCGTGGGGCTTCATCCATTTCCTTAACACTCCCTTCAGCCTTTGCTTCAGCCTGCTCTCTTTTCTTTATTCTCTACCAACACATTCCTCCTTCTAAGTATGTCCACAAGGAATGTTCATATTAAAAGTTGGAGGCTTTGCTGTCTACACCTGCAATCATTTATATTGAACATATAAAACTAAGCTTCATTTTAGTGCAGGGGTCCTCAAATGTTTTATACAGGGGCCAGTTCACTGTCCCTCAGACCCATTGGAGGGCTGGACTGTAGTTTAAAAAAAAACTATGAACAAATTCCTATGCACACTGCACATATCTTATTTTGAAGTAAAAAAACAAAACGGGGCAAAACCATCTGGCAAGCCAGATAAATGTCCTTGGCGGGCCGCATGTGGCCCGCGGGCCTTAGTTTGAGGACCCCTGTTCTAGGGTAAAGCAAAAGGTATTGTGGCTAAGGCTCCAGTTCATACATGCATGGATTTGTTCCGAACACAATACGTCTAAAGATGCCTCTCCAATCAGTAAATGGCCACAGATAAGTTCCCCCGGTGTGACATTTGTCTTAGTCCCCGTAGGATGACTTCGAACCAGTTCATTCACAACAGTGGCTTTCACGGGCCAGTTAACTGCGAGGCCACTTAAACTCAAGGCAGCGAGGTCAGCTCCAAGGCTATGGAAACTGCTCTGTGTCAAGGTCCTGGGTCCTCAGTAGGAACAAATTTTAAGAAAATTGAAACCTAGACGGTGAAAAAACAGCCAGGAAAGTCACATTGAGAAAGTCCTGCTTCTTTTCCATCACAGCAAGGGACCCACTCACTCTTTAAGAGCAGCAAGAGAATTCTGTTGTCCCACCTCATAGCCATCCCCTTGCCCCTTCATGCTTCTTCAAAGAATGTTTTGAAGGAACACCATTTGAGTCCCTTGAGGATACCAGAACTGCCAGTTGAGTCCAAGAGCACAGGAGTGGGAAGTCAGATGGGTCAGAGAGAGGGAAATGCTTCCCCAGCAGTGTGCAGACCTAGATGGAGAGCACATGGAGAAACAGTAGCTTCACATTTTGATATTTTGTCTCATGAAGATTGCTGTGATTCTGTAGCAATACTTATGGACCTGCTCTAATATCAACACCTAGCACAATGATGTAAAATCAAGAGACCTTACAAAACTGCAGAATTGTCTCTTAAATAATAGTGTTTAAAGAGACCTAAGGAACCTATCAATAAAATGCAATATACAGATCTTATTTTACAGATTGATTCCAATTTAAAACTATAAAAATATTAGGAGATAATTAGAAAAAAATTAACCACTGGCTGTATATTTAATGGTGCTAAGACATGATTGCTAATTTTTAGTGTGATATTAATAGTTATGTTATTTTCTCAAGAGAGTGCCTATTTTAATGATACGTCCTGATATATTTATAGTTGAAATGTATCTGGGAATTACTGCAGAATCATTTAGAGTGGAGAGTCCATCCCTGTAGGCAGAGTAGAATTACTCCGCAGGCTTTTCAAAGCTGTAATGTTTATGGAAACTGACTCCCACATCTTTCTCCCACAGAGCTGCTTGTGGGCTTGAACTGCAGTCACATCTTATGGTTAGCAGTCGAGCACTTAATGGCTGTACCACCAGGGCTCTTAGATATGTGCATACCCCACAAACCAAAATTGATTGCTATAGAACCAATTCTGCCAGGCTGAACATGATAGTGGAACAAGAGGAAAGGAAAACTAGGAGGCAAAGGGCATTTATAAAGGTCTAAATACAGGTGTGTACATATATAAATATATTTATATATGATGATGGAGCAATAGATCTATGTGCATATATTTATAGGTTTAGTATTAAGGTAGCAGATGGACATTGGGTCTCTACTCAAGTATTCCCTCAATGTAAGCATACTTTGTTTTATTAAACTGGCATGCCATGATGCTCACCTTCCTGACACAATCACTGAAGACAAAGCGGGTGCATAAGCAAATGTGGTGAAGAAAGCTGATGGTGCCTGGCTATTGAAAGGTATAGCATCTGGGGTCTTAAAGGCCTGAAGGTAAACAAGCAGTCATCCAGCTCAGAAGCAACAAAACCCATATGGAAAATGCACACCAGTCTGTGTGATCACAAGGTGTCCACACGATCAGGTATGAGGCATCAAAGAGCAAAAAATCATATGAGTGTGAATGAGGGGCAATGCAGAGTGGAGACCCAAAACCCATCTGTAGGCAACTGGACATCCCTTTACAGAAGGGTCACGGGGAGGAGACGAACCAGTCAGTGTGCAGTGTAGCAATGATGAAACATACAAATTTCCTCTAGTTCTCTAATGCTTCCTCCCCGACCACCACCCCCCACACCCCACTATCATGATCCCAATTCTACCTTACAAATCCAGCTGGACCAGAGGATGTATACTAGTACAGATAAGAGCTGGAAACACAGGAATCCAGGACAGATAAACCCCTGATGACCAATAATGAGAGTAGCAATACCAGGAGGGTAAGGGAAAAGTGGAAGGATAAAGGGGGAACCAATCACAATGATCTACATGGAACCCCCTCCCTGGGGGATGGACAACAGAGAAGTGGGTGAAGGGAGACATCAGTCAGTGTAAGACATGAAAAGATAATGATAATTTCTAAATTATCAAGGGGTCATGAGGGAGGGAAGGTGGGGGAGGGAGACGGAAATGGGGAGCTAATACCAAGGGCTCAAGTAGAAGGAAAATGTTTTGAAAATGATGATGTCAACAGATGTACAAATGTGCTTGGCACAATGGATGGATGGATGGATGGATGGATGGATGGATGGATGGATGATGATAAGAGTTGTATGAACCCCAATAAATGATTAAAAAAAAAAAAGAATCAATTCTGCCTCCTA